AGTAAAATGGAATAACTTAAAGTATTAAAAGAAGAAAAAATAATAATCAAAGATCTTAAATTTATAACTTTGGTTTAAAAAATAATTTTCTTAATAATTTGAAAATATTTATATAGGACAGATGCGACTAATTACAAAACAATTAAATAACTAGCTAGGCTTTAATGAAAATTCAAATTAACTTGAAGATAACTTGGAAAAATTTATTACACAATTAATGAGGGAATAGGATTACTAATTTATTTAGAATCTCGTCCCATTTTTGATCTGTTATGGAAAATGAAAATTATTTAAACAAAATTAATATACAATCTTTCTATTTAAAAATTCGTAACGCTGTTTTGGGTGTACAATTTAAACTTACCTGTTGTTTAAAAATTATAAGTTAAAGAGGAAAATAAATGTAAGAAGACAGAAATTATAAGACTTAGCTTATTATTTAGCCTTTTTAGACATTGTTTTTATTACTTTTAAGTTTGCATTACATTTTGTTTTGCTGCCCAAATTCAGTAAAACTTAGAAACTTCAAGTTTCGAGATATGTTGGGAAAAAAACTTAATATATAGTGATAAGAACAGTTTCCTATTTAAATTGTTATAAGTTTCGTCAACAAATGAAAATAACTATCTTTTAATTCTTGTTGAATCACACATTTTCAGTTCATTAAGTTGAGTTTTTTCATCAGGTTCGTATGATTGCTTTTCAAATCAAGTTAATCGTTATGATTAACATGTTAACAAAATGATTGTATATTTTGAAAACAAAATATTCGATCTTTTGTAGGAAATATCGGTCTTTAAAGAATAAAATAAACAATGATGAATGAGAAACAATTACAAGAGTTGGCGACTGGATGAGTAATTTCTAAATATATAATAAATAATATATTAATTAATAAATAACATTAATTAACAAATAATAACTGAAACAATCATTTATCACGTTTTTATTAAGAAAGTCGGGTTATTTCGGGTTTTCTGAGGATGGCAGACTCTTAAATAGCTTGCTTCTAGCATCAAAGTTGAAAGATTAGTACTATTTGTCACTTTGTTTTGTTCAAATGTAACCTGGAGGAAAGCTTGAGAATGCTAGGCTATTAGGTTTATTTTTTTAACGACAAACAGACTGCTACATGAAAATTTTAAATTATTTAATTAGATATCCAATTAAAATTGTTCCAACTTTCGTTTATAATAAATTTACTTTTTAAACAGATTGCATAGTAATGTAGTACCAAGTTAATTCATATTAACAATTTTGAAAATTTTATAGCAAATTAATTTCAGATTTTAACTTAAAATTGCTTCATTTTGAGCTTACCATATAAATAAATAAATATAACTTATTTACATAATTGCATAATTATTTAGTTACTACCGTTTTCAATGTTTTTCATAAAAGTTACATATTAGTGTAATGATGCAGGATTTTTTTATATAAGAAAAGAAATACACTTTTAGTTAATTTAGAATAATACTAAAAGTAAACTCATAATAATATTAGAACAAAAAAACTTTAAGAAAGGTGGATAATTAACTATTGCAACTAAATAATTAAAAAATAATAATAAAAACATAGTTTGTAGATATCCTCAGATTGTTTTATCCTCAAGACTTCGCTCTTCAAACACCTTTTTTTTTTAATATTTATTATGAAAAATAATTAATTTAAATTTACGCATCCAACTGTGCCACTCGAAGAGACATTTTTAAAACCTAATTAAATTATACTGCAATAATAAAAAACTGATTATTAATTAGTTCTTTAGATATGATTAATATATACATATCATCCGCCGACTCAGGCGATCGAGCGCTCGCCTTCCAATGAGGTTAAGCGGGTTCGAACAACACCTCCTAGAATGAAGGCCTCAGCACGACACAACCCTCTTAATCCTTAGTAGTCCAACGCGGATCCTTATTGCGTCTTTTCAGAAAAGCTTCGATCGTATACTTTATATGAGTTAGTTTTTAATTAGAAACTTACCTTTCAAAAAATAAAATTTTTTAAGCACTTTTCGTCTCTACTGAAAAGAATGAAATTTATCGAACATATACTAACATTCTGAGAAAAATTATTTTGATTGCATTATCAATTGAAATAAAGATATTAAAAAAAAATTGCACTCTAATATACCTTTTGTAATTTATTTAAAGGAATGAGACAATATTATTTGACAATTTATCTATGTAAGCATTTATTATTATTCTTTCATTTAAATATATACATAAAACAAGCTATATATAATAAATAATTTTATCATTGAGTAAAATTTTTTATGAAAACAAATTTTCATTTTTAAGACAGCTGATATAAAGTTATATCCTTAACTTTATTGAAATTTGAACACAATTTTAAATTAGTGTAGTATAGTAAAATTATTTACAAGTTACTAGCTTTTCACAGCTTTCAAAAATGAAAAGTGATGAAACAAGCAACAAAACTGTTTATTTCAAATACAAATATAGAAACAATGTAAGATTTCATTTTAAATCTCTTCAGCTTATTAAAAATATGACCACTTAAACATTAATTTATTAGTCTAGTCATACAAAATATTTTTCAAATAAACTCAAAAAGTATTATAATGCTACTTGTCTTAAAAGTTACAAATAAAAAACAGAAGCTGTATCAAAAATTGATTCTATATTTTAATGTTGAAAAAAACAAACAGCTCCTTTATTTTAATGTTTGTAGTTTTCTTTTCTTAGTTTCTGGTTCAATTTTAGATTGAGTTACTTTTAAGTTTAAGTTAGCTTTCTTTTTATTAAGTCGTTCAGTTAAAATTGAATCATTTAGCTTTTTACAATAATTGCTTAAAAAGGTGTTAATGGCTCGAGTTACCAAAAATTTAACAATGAAACTGGAATCATGAGCAGAGCATTGATTGTCATTTAAGAATATTTCCTTTCTTTCCAAAACATTAATAGTAGTTTCAATAGCCAAAACTTTATGATTATGCATTTGTAGAAATGAGCTTTCAAACTCTTCAGAAACTAATTTTTGAACTACCACATATGCGTGCAAGATTATGTCAACAATTTCTTGCTTAGGGTAAACCAAACAACCTNTGTCAAGTTATTAATTTGGGAAAATATGAGCTAAAAAGACTCACAGGCATGAGTATTCTGCTGAACTGGTTGGTTAAACTTGTAGTCAATGTCGTTGCCAGAAAGTCGCGAAAAAAAATTATAAGGGCTTTAGAGCAATTTTTTTCATGAAACTTCCATGTGAAATATTTCTTCTATTAAATAATTACATCACGAATTTATAGTAATTTTTACTATAAGAGCAGCTGTACAAAGTTTGTGCTGGACACACAAGTAGTACTAGTATAAAGTACACACTAATACAAAGCTTGTGATATCACCAGAAAGAGCTCTTGTAACTGTTTTTTTACAGAATCATATATTTATTTGATTGTTGCCACCATTTGATACATTTTCTCCTTGCTTGTTAAATAAAACCCCGCTATAGTGAACCTTCAAGGGACCGAAGTTCGGTTCACTGGAACCGGGAGTTCACTATATCCATTACGCAGGCAATTTAACTAATAGTTCCCAAACTGGGTTTTTAAAGTTTATGAATACAAGATTATTTAAGATGATCAAAAATTTCATCTCATAACTCTTTATTTAGAATAAAAAGAAAGAGAAATATCTTGGAATCCATTAACATATTTAATACTGTGTGTTAATTTTTCGACAAGATTCAACGTTACTAACTATCTAGACAGGTCAGATTTAAAGCGATACCATACAATGTTATTACTCCTAAAAAAGAACTGCGAGGAGCGTATGGGGCAAACGTGTGAAGTTTCATGAAATCGTCCCAAAAATTCAGCTACGCTACTGTGGGAACTGCTCAAGCTAGCACAAATGTGGTTACAAATGCAATTTGAAAGTTGTGAGTATGGGGGCTCACTCTCACAATAAAAAGAATCGCTAACACTCGAAAGTGTGCTAGAGACCATTCTCTTGGGTGCTTAAAATTTGATTAGGGATGAGAAGTTAAAAGTTGTTGTTGTTGTTCATTTACGTCGCCCTAGAGCTGCACAGAGGGGTATTGGCGACGGTCTGGGAAACATCCCTGAGTATGATCCGAAGACTTGCCATCGCAATTTTGATCCTCTGTAGAGGGGATGGCACCCCCGCTTCGGTAGCCCGACGACCTGCACGCGAAGTCGAGCACTTAGTCGAGCACGGTAGAGCAGTTCAACGAGGACCCATACCGCACACCCTCGGTCCCTACGCAGGCTGATCCAAGTGGTCACCCACGCGCACACTGACCGTAGCCAGTGCTGCTTGACTTCGATGATCTGCTGGGAACCGTGACTTAACGATCAGTCCACTGCGGGACGAGAAGTTAAAAGAGTATTGACATTCATGCAATTTGCGCAGTTCGTCTCAGGGACCGTTCTCTCTGGAAGCGAAAAAAGCGCGTATACGATTTTAACGATTCCAATAAAATCCGATAAGTTAAATATATTTATCCGCATTAAGCTCTTTAATCAAGTTGCTTTTGAATTCGCATATTCGATTTATTTTTGCATCCAGTTAGAGAATAGTCCTTTACACGTAGTTTCAAGGGAAACATTTACACTATGCGCAAAAACTTTAAAAACGCTTGCCTTGCCGATGTTTAGAAATTGAATGTGAGTAAGACATTTCGTGCCTGTGCGAATCTGACTTGTGATGGCATGCAGTAAAAGTGCACATGCATCGAATACATTGACACTCGTAAAATGTGTAATTGAGAGAATGCTTATTTACATGAAAAATTGTTGCAGTCAGAATGGTCTAATGAAAGAACAGTATGATCATTTAAATATTAATAAAACAAATAAAAAAGATTATGTACTACTGAATGGCAACATCAAAGGAACTCAAACAGTAACCAAAACAAAAGTATAAGATGCAGAAAAGAGCGTTAAAAATGAAATCAAACTGTTTGCAGTGTTATACTGACGCTTTTAACACATGGATCAATAAGTTCCGAGACTAACCCAGAGATGGCGCTCGTAGTAAACCAGTAACCAGGTCTTTGTAGAGTACTAACCTTTGCTTGAAACGTGTCAAAATTTTAAGTCGATCGGACCAGAAACAGCTGAGTTATCGAGGTTGGAGTAAAGTCGTTTTGTAGTTTGTTTAAAAAATGGAAAAAACAGAGTTTCGTGTTCTGATAAAACATTGTTTTTTAATGGGTAAAAACACCGTGCAAGCGAAACAATGGATTGACAAATGTTACCCGGACTCTTGTCCATCAAAAGCAACGATTTGTCGGTGGTTTGCCGAGTTTAAACGTGGTCGTACCGACACAAATGACGCGGAACGCTCTGGTAGACCTGTGGAAGCCGTTACACCGGAAAATGTGAGTGAAGTGACAAAAATTATAATGAAAGATCGTAAAGTGAAGCTCCGTGAGATTGCTGAGATGACACAGATATCATATGGAAGTGTATTTACTATCCTTCATGAAAAACTGAGCATGAAAAAGGTTTTTTCCAAGTGGGTGCCGCGATTGCTTTCGATGGAACAAAAACAGCAACGAGTCGATGATTCAGAAAGCTGTTTATCGCTATTTACTCGCAACAAAAAAGATTTAGCCCCCAGTGACTACTGGCTCTTTGCTGATCTTAAAAAAGTGCTCCAGGGAAAAAGATTTGGCTCAAATGAGGTCATCGCTGAAACTGAAGCTTATTTTGAAGCGAAAGATAATTTTTTTTATAAACATGGTATTGAAAAATTGGAAAAGCGTTGGAACGATTGTATCACCCTAAAAGGTGATTATGTTAATGAATAAAAAAAATTTTTGCAAAAAAAATTTTGTTTTCATTGTTAGTCTCGGGACTTATTGATCTATGTGTTATTATAATAACAAAAATAAAAGAAGTATGCTTTTATCAGCCATTAATGACTTATGAGAATGCCAACTTTTTGCTGATAGTTAATATATTCAACATAAGATAAGGTTTATAAAGCTTGAAGGCTTTATGAAGTTTGAATTATTTCTATATTTACAAAAGCTTCGAAATCTAATGAAGGCTATGTTCATCATGTTATGAGTTTAGTTATTTAAAAAAAAAATTTCTTCTTGTTTAAACATGGAAGATAAAGTGTTGGCTTCAAACATTGTGCATAACATTTTTCTCTGAAGCTTTATGTGTAGTGCACTATTTAAATAACGAGTGGAACAACTTGAATATAAATAATGCTAAAATCTCTCCTTAAAATATTGGAAGATTATTTTAATAGACCTCTATTTGTTTGTTAAAAAATTTTTCTCTCTCTGAAATGTTCTTAGAATGAATATAACTTTTAGTGTTAGTTCTGCTAAATGTATGTTTTTAATAAATTCAGGTTGAAATTTAAATATTGACTGTGATTTTTAAATTTGTATACAATTTTAAGCCTAAAATTTTAGAACAGCACAATTGTTTTTGAACGTACGTGAAAAATAAATATAGAAATTCACCAGTCTTAAATTATTTTTATTTGTAGTAACAATTTAAAATTATTTTGTTATATATATATATTTATTTAAAAAGCTTTACGGCAGGCTACCTTAACTGTCCATAATACGCTGCCGCGTCCATATAATCTCCTAGAGTCATTAGGTTAAATCTTCCTTTTACAGAAGCAAGTCTTTGGTTGGCAAGCCAGTACTGTTTTTTTTTTGTACTGGAGGGTTTTGTGCCTCACATAGCAGCATAATCTTCTCTGCTTCATTTTCATGTCCTAATTTCTTGATCATGTCTATGAAAGTGTAGATGTTTGTCCTCTGCGGCTTAGTTAGGAACCCTCAACATGGTTATTAGTCCTTATATTGTCATAATGTTTTCAAATGGATCTGTAAAATAAAATATTAAAAATAAGGCATTTTTAAATAATGATAGAATATTCTAGTATTTAAATCTAAAATGCAGCATGATTTTTTTCTTACGTTAAATTTAGTTCTTTCGAAAAAGTTCTGGTGTAGTCATTGCGATTTTGGCCCTCAAGAGATTGTCTTATTTAAATTTATGAAAAAGAATGAGCAGCAGAACTTTTTTTAAATTGATGCTAATTCATAAGTTTCCTTTTAGATATTATGATTTATTTTATACAATAATACAAAATTTATTAGAGGAAATGTGAAAACAATATTTTATATTTCATTTTACTTATATTTTTATAATTATAAAATTATGCTCCTGTAACTCTACTAAATAATTCACAAATACATATAATTTGCCTACAGTAAGAAGTCCTCCCCCCCCAACAATGTCTGAGTTCATCCACAAAGTCCTAGAGTTGTGCATTTCAGGGAGGGTAGTTTCTCTTCCCTCTAGGGCTAACACAATAGCCCAAAGAAAAATATTCCCTAGCCAAAACCTAACCTCACACCTATACTTGAAATAGTTATATCGCTTTCCATAGTCACCAGAACAATGGCTAGGGGTGTTCTTACTTAGACAAACTATAAACTTTGGTCTATGCATTACATATTTTTATTTATTTTAACGTATGCTCTCCACAAGTAATTTTTCATAGTGTGTAGCGTTCCTTGGATATAAAACAGTTGCGAAGCGCTGAGAAGTGCCTCTAAAAAAAATTCGAAGAAAGGACTTCATAATTTCTTTTTCTTGCTAATATTGTATGTATTGTAAAATTGTATGAATGAAAATTAAGAAGTATATTGCTTTTTAGAATAATGTGTTTAAATACAATTGCACACATTGTTTAGAAATAAGTTGCCAAGATTTGCTACAGAACTTACGAACTAAACATAGCATCAGGATTTAACTATGTCGTTTCCATGTAGTGGTTCAATTCAGCCATTTGGGGGCTGCTTATTGGTGTGTCACTCGTTATTGTTAAGAAGGCATCTTCGATTTGGTGTAGAGGCACAAGAGGAAGGGCTGATAATCTGCGTATCACCCTCCTTGTTTCATGACAATTGATATATGCAGATACCAGACCTAGCGCTTGAACCTAAAATAAAATGTTGACATTAGAATAAGTGTTAATACTTTTCTAAATACTTAAAAATTTTTAACCTTGATTTTTTTTTAGTCTTTCTAATATATATAGTTATTATTAAAAAAAATATTAATATCATTTGAAAATTTTTAAATCCAGTATGAATAAAATTGATTTTTAAAATAAACTTAATTTAGTAATTAAATGTTGCATAACATTAAGACTCAATATTTAGTTACCTTCCTCCAAATCAACTGGGAGTAGTGAAATTAACACCCCTTAATCGCTATCCAAGGGATGGTTTCTTTTAAAGCATTCATTGCGCCAGCTTCAAAATCCATCCTGGCACATTCTGGATTAAAAATATGCCCATTAATCCAAGCCTGGTTGCTGATGTGCTGAAACAAACGTAAATACGTCTGTTTCGTCTTATCAGGCAATAGGCCATAGATTAATGGGAATATTTTACCCATGTATGTACCATGAATGGTATAAAGCTGGCAAAAAAGCTTTGGTGCCATTTTAAAAGTTCCGTCTAAGTAAATTTTTTTGGATTGGCACAATATTCTCCCTGGTGCCAAACATCTGAAAATCAAATAAATTTTTTGGTTGGTTGGTGTCGTATCCTCTATAGAATCATATTTCATGGTGTGCTTAAATAGTTTTTGTTATTTCTATGGCATTAAAAGAATACAAATCCTCTTCTGTGGGTTANTATTTTTTTATATTATCTAAAAGCATTATTAAATAAGAGGTTTTGTTAGTGCTGGAAAAATAAGCAATATTCGTTTTTATCTCTCTTTTTTTCCTTTTACTTTGAAAAGAAATGCCAAGAAAAAGTAAATTAAATGCTAAGAAATTTTCTTTTACAAGCATATAATTAAAAATATATACCGCAGTGTTATTTCGTGTTATAAAGTTTGTTGCTTGTTGATATTAACCTGTTGTTATTTTATTGTTATTAACCTGAATATTTCTGTGGAATAATTGGATATTTAATGCCAGGTACAGCATTTGATGTTCTAATTTATTGACACCTGGATATCTAGTTTATTAATTATTTTCAACAATGCACTTCAATTTTTTGTAACCACAAAAAGGCTTTTTTTTTCTTGGCGAAAAGGGTGGTGGGGAAAATCGTTATTTTTTTAACCCTTGGCTATTTATTTTGCACTTTGAAATGCTTACTTATAACTATCGGTGTTCTAACCAAACAACTTCAAAAATAAGACAAAACATTAGGTAATTTTTCTAAAAATAAATATTTTATAGTATCTAGTTTAAGTTCTTTACTCAAAATATTATTATTATTATTTTAGTTTAAAAAATATTAACACATGAATTATTCTATCATTTTAGGAGTAAAATGCAACTTTTGAAATATTTTTATTATTAATATAGCATTGCAACCAAATTTTCAGCAATTTTTTAATTCGTGAAAGCAAACTTTAAGCTTTTCTTTTTATGTATCATTTTTTTAAATTTAATTTAAAAGAATTTGACCACAATTGCACATACATAAATTTAGCATGGATATAAATGCATAATAAACATATCATAGAGTATTCTGGCAAAATAAAAGATATTTTTGCCAACTAATGTGTTCTTAGTATCATTTGAAATAATTATTCTTCAGAAAAGTGTGAGCTGGTGTGTAAAGTGTATATAAAAAGGGGGAAAAAAGTATACTAACCAAAATCCTTTCTGCAGTTATCTGGTCATCGACCAAGAGAAATTCTCTTCCATCAATTGTCTTCGCCCATTGACTACAATATCTTTTAGAGTGCTTGGCAAAGGTGGCAATGCCTTTGCCCTTGCTCTGTACATTGTGCGACAGGCAGTTTTTAAATCTGGCAGACTTACTGCTGTCTCGACTGTCTGAGCAAACTCTCCGATTTCCTGCCTGAAAATGATATATCATATTATGACTTGAATTTTTGAAATAACCAAATGATAATTAAGAGAAAACATTTGAACCCAAGACTATAGAAATATGTAAAAAGTTAAATACTGTATTTACATAGTAAATCTCTTATCAGCTGTTTGTTAATATATGTTACTGACCTTCGTACCAACATAATATAACAAATGGCACTGCTTATGCCTGCTCGACATGATTCTCTGTAGTTACTACTAATTCTATTTTCAATCATTATGTATAATATCTTAAATACCAAAGAAAAAAAGAACAATGCAAGATGAAATAGAAGGTATTAAACAATATGTATGAAATTGCCTAAATTATATGAACTAGGGAGCTCCGCCCCCTGCTCGCTACGCTCGCCAACCACCAGAACTGCTTCGCAGTTCCGTTGCATATTGCTTCGCAATCTTATAAAAACATTTTAACAAATTTAAATTTTAAAATAAAAATGCCAGATATTGAAATCAATTACTTAATGAAATTTATACACTTCTCTGCCCCCATCACAATTTGATTATCTTTTCTTCATGTAGCTGAGAAATTTGGAGCTGTAGCAGAGAATATATCTCAATAAGATCACCAAATGTACCACTGCCAATTTTATTTAGAAATTTAATACAATCCCATTAACTTTGCAAGGTTCGCATGTTTTGGGTAAGCGTTTTTATGAGGATTTGTTTATTGTCATTGCGAAAAATAGAATCACCGGAAATTGAATTATGTCAAAAATAAATGGCAGTAGTGTCCCTGAACTTTTGAAATGTATTCTTTGTATCAAAATTTGTTGTCCACACGTAACACCAGTTAAAACTACGCAAACTAAACTGTTCCGATGAAAATTTTCGACACAAAGGCGTTTTCTTTCAATATGAGTTTGTGAGGAGGTAAGTCACTCACAGAAAGACTATTTAAAAATTCAGAAGGATAAAGCGTTTGCTTTATCCCTCTTTGGATTTGATTTCTTCGCAATCTTCATTTATCGGAGGCAATATTGCTCGGTTTGTTATCAGAAGTTTGATCAATTTCTGGAATATAACGGTAAATTTCATCAATGATGTCTTTAAGATGACCAGAGGTATCATTGTCAATTTTGTGAAGAAATTCAGTAAATTTATGTTCACTTGGCAAGGCTCAAGTGTTTTGGGTGAGTATCATTTTAATGATTTGAGTCCATTTTGAATAAAATGTGTTATACCTAATTGTTAAATTTAAATGTATGGCTGTTAGCATTACCCGAGAAATACCGCGAGGAGGTCGCCATATCTCATTTCTCATGGGGAGTTTTGATTCTGGAAGGTC